TAAATAAATAAAGTATGACTATTCCCAAATGTACTTTACTCGAAAAAGAAAAAAAAAACAAAACTCCAGACTCTGGAATTTTTTTTAAATTAAAAGTGAAACACGCATTCAAATGCATTAGTGCGGTCTTGAAAAAAGTAATCGGATAGATAAGATGTTTAATGGTTAAGCATTGTGCAACAGAATTGCAGAGCATCCCACCCTTCATTCATTCCTTCAACCAACCACTCAAGTAAAGAACATGCTTACTTGTTATTGGCTGGTCCTGTTGCCAAGACGTCGGACTGTAACTTGGGAAAGAACCCTTGCTCATATTTGCCTTGACCAATTTTCATATCAAGTAGATGTGGGTGTATTGCAGTGTGATCCATTTTCATTAGTCTCTGTTCAATTGATTGGGCTATAAATTTGTAACAAATTAGAGACATTTAATTGCTAAATCTTCAAAAATCATGCTTCCTCCACTCACACGCTTACAGAGAACTCAGTCATTCTGACACTCTGATATAGATTTTTACAAAGACTCTTCAGAAATCAGTATAATGTAAGCATAAAAAAGGTTAATTTTGGGTAAATATTGGATGATTAATTTTCATGGTATCTTCTTCTGCCTTTGTGAAAAGCAGGGCAGCAGTGTTGAAAAAAATCCATAATTCAGTATTTATAGTTTCCTTTAAGTGGGAATATTCTTACATGAAAATATGGTTTTAAGTACGACATTAGGCTGGGTACAGTAGCTCATGCCTGTAATCCTAGCACTCTGGGAGTCTGAGTGGGAGGATCGCTTGAGGTCAGGAGTTCAAGACCAGCCTGAGCAAGAGTGAGACCCCATCTCTACCAAAAATAGAAAAAAATTAGCCAGGTATAGTGGCGTGCCTGTAGTCCCAGCTACTCAGGAGGCTGAAGTAGGAGGATCTCTTGAGCCCAGGAGTTGGCAGTTGCAGTGAACTATGGTGACACCGCTGCATTCTACCCTGGGCGAAGGAGTGAGACTGTCTCAAAAAAAAAAAAAAAATTAAAGAAAATGATAAAATATTTTTCTTCAGCTGAAAGACAATGTAAAGGGAAGGAAGAAGCAAGCACAGTAGCCTTATTATTTCCTTGTGCAAAGACCTATTAAATATTCATAGTTCTCCATCTGTAAAACAAGGAACCATGTTAAGTTTATTGCCTCACTTTTAGCAACAGTCACATTCCCATTAGTAGGAGTCATTTAGGAGTGTTTATTAGATCTAGAGGGTAATACAGAGAAAAAAAGTCAAAGAAGTCAAATAAGCAGGCATTTAGAAAATGTCCAGAGGATAAGACACTGGCCTCTTGAACAATAAAATAGGTCAAAGTTAAAAGGATTATTCAACATTTCTATTTTAAAACCACTTAAAGTAAGGGATGTTGGAGATGTCTCAAAGACCCAAGAAACAGTAATCTATTAATATTTCTCGGCTAAAAAACCAAAAAACAAAAAACCAAATGTTTTTGTCAACTGGATTGTCAAGAGAAAATACAATATTTGAAAAGAAAGACTAGGTCTCCAATCCTTTGTGTAGAGATTACTAAAAAAAGAACCAGCAGTAATTGTGCTTGTGTGATAAATAGGAGTTGTTAATCTTTTGCTTTAGAAGAAGTACCTTTGTAAATATTTCATAGAATCAGTTTATTTTGCCCCTTTTTAATACTAGTAGATTTAGTCCGGCTGGTTATTCCCCATACATATTTGAAAGCTTTTCTGGAGAGGAGGTGTCTGTCCATGTTTTCCACTCTTGTCAAAAGAACATGCTTAATGCCATTTTATGTCAGATTATAAATAAAATGGGAAGCGAGTTATTTGTGATTGATAGTAGTACTAAGGGATGCTTTATGGAAGTTACTACTGCCCTCTATGACTTAAACTTCAAAATGTTAGATACAAATTTTAAGCTTCCCCAATGCTCCCTCACAACCCATATGAATTTATCTAAAACCTTCTTGAATTTCATTACATTTTTAATGTGTAACTTGTAACTTCTCTTGAAACACAGTCCATATGTTCTATGCTGGGCAAAATATCCGTGGCAAAAGGATGTCATGTTTTAATGTGAAATGATATTTAACTTTTAACAATGCCCGCAGGCTTTCCACAACTCTATACTTTGTATGCTGCGTAATATTTATAAAACATAATTAATGGATGGTTTAGGCAAAATAATGCCTAGTTTCATGGCATAAATTCTCTGAAGTCCCTGCCAAATTTATATTCCGTGAAATACCACCAAATTCCATCTCTGCCAACGGATGCTTCTGGCTTCATGAAAGGGGAGGAAAAAAAGGAAGTGTAGCTTCAGTTTTTCCACTGAATTTAAAATGACGGAGAAATTCATCTGATATTGAGTTGTTCTCCTTTACTTCAGAAGTTTTTTAGAAACAAAAATCATAATTCACTCCAGGGTTTATACTGAAAACTGCCACAAGGAGCACAATACAATGCTATTTTTCAGTGATTATACCACCAGTGAATACTGAACATTCAGAAATTATTAAATGCCTGCTTTGAAAGGTCAGGGGTCCATTGTTAGATTTTCAAAGGTTTGTGCCAATATTCATCTGCTGTGATTGGTAAGGAAAAAGAAAACTGTATTACTATCAACTTGTCTTTCTGCACAGAAATCATGAGGTTCTGGTGCCACAATATCAACAGCGGATAGCCTGTGCCTAAAGAGTTCACCTGTAAATCAAAATTCTTCTTGGTTAGAGGTAAAACAAAACCAAAAACACAACAAAAGAAAAAAACAATATACAATAAAAGGCCGGGCGCGGTGGCTCACGCCTGTAATCCTAGCTCTCTGGGAGGCCGAGGCGGGCGGATTGTTTGAGCTCAGGAGTTCGAAACCAGCCTGAGCA